TAATAAGTGTCGAAAACGACTTTTCGACAAAGGATTATTTATAATAAATAATCTTAACCAAGTTGTAGAATATGTCTCAAGGTTTCTGTACATATAAAGAACACCAAAATCCAAGTTATAACGAAGAAGTTATGACCCATTGAAGTTTCGTAACGTTGGATGAAGAAGTTATGAGGATTTAATGGACCAATCCTGTCTCGGTCTGTTAAAAATATAAAATTTAAAATCGAGTCAAAATTAGCCGATGAAGTCCAAACCAAAGTTGTAGAGTACGTTCCCACCTTCGCGTGGATATAAAGAATGTCAAAAACGGAGCTCGTATGCGAAATATATGATTTTTAGAAGTCGGAGTGTAAAATTTCGAAATCTGCAAGAGGTTGATGACGTGGCCGCATCTGAGCCGTTGCTTGCTGACCAAGGCTTCGCTTCGGATCACGCCACGTCAACTCGCATCTACGCCCCGCGTCCGAGGCTGGGTACGCCCAACGTACTTCGATTCTTATCCCTTCCAAATGCGAGACAGCTGGAGGCTCGCTGGCACCCTTATCCGAGCATTACATCCAGCGTAGCCAAGGACTACGCCCAGCGTAATCCGAGGCCTCACTGGGTATAAAAGGGGGGCGAGGGTCTCCAACTTTATCACACATTTTCTCACTCTCTCTCTAAGAACTTTCTCTCTCTATCTCCTTTTGAGTCCCCTAAAGTCTAGGTGATCCCCTATCACCCAAGGGAAGCCCCGAGGCTTCCGGAGTCCCGAGAAAAAGAGCCTTTCGGTTTCGAAACGCTATTCCAAATAAAGTTCCGGTTTTCGATAAAATTCGTTGTAAGTGAGCTACGCTTACGTAATTTTTAATATAGCTTTCGAATAATTATAGGAATGTTATTAGGTCCTTAAAATAATTATTTGGGCTATTATTATGAGTTATATTGAGTGTTATTAACGCTTATATAATAATACTAATAGTCAGACTAATTAATTTGCCGCGGTTATCGTTAAACTAAACCCTAGTGGTATTGGTACTAGGTGTTATCGAAGGAAATTGTTTTGAGAGTATCAAAGCGTTGTCCGAGTGCTGAGTCACCACCTTTCAGGTGAGTGCATAGTCCCTTTCATCTTACACATAGATATGAAATATTTTAATATAAATTACGTGTTGTGTGTGCATATTGTCTGAATACTTGTTGTCTATGCTGGGTGAAAGATTTTTATACATGTTTTAAATGATTTAAACTGTATATGTATTTTATATCTACAAAATGTGTTGGGTAAAACATGGGTAGATAAATAGTTGTTTTGTGATAACACGATGGGAGACATCAATGTTGTTAGTGATCCAGTCATCTAGTGGAGTATAGATGATGACCATGGGCGATACTAGACGGTCCGGTGGAATGCTTGTAAGCTCGTAACCTGTAGGTGTTTTTGAACTAGGTGCTCATTAGGTATTTTGAACTGAGTGTGTTCACTACGTATCTTTGAACTGAGTGTGTTCATTAGGTATTTTGAACTGAGTGTGTTCACTACGTATCTTTGAACTGAGTGTGTTCACTAGGTATTTTGAACTAAGTGTGTTCACTAGTTATTTTTGAACTAAGTGTTTACCAGATGTTTTGGACTACGTGTTCACCAAACATATTCTATAAGCCTTGGTAATGATGGACTTCGTGTCGATTCCTTAGGATGTTCCTTAGGAATAAATAAACGAGGAATAGTTGATTCTTAGGGTAGATCCTTAAGAGTAAAGAAGATAATGGGGATGGGTAATTGGGTTGATTGTTTGATTGTTTAAACATAATAATTATATTATTGTGGGTTGAAAACCCTATGTACTTACCAGGTTTCCCAACCTGGCCCACTCAGTTTACTTATATCACACGTGTTGATACGAAGTCACTTTACACTGAGAGATTCAACGAGATGTAGATCACTAGTGTAAATAAATGTAAGTTCTGTTTATGCTTATGTTTCTGTATTAACGATGACATCCCAAACATTTTGAAATGAATAAAATACGTTTCTTCGAAAGTGTTTTAATAACGTATTTATCATGTTTTTCTGGGAACAAATTCCGCAACATTTTTATTAAAAGAAGTACTCTGATTTTTATAAAGCATAAACAAAAATCGGTCTTTTCTGGCCGTGAAAATTGGGGATGTCACAGTTAGAGACCCTGGAATGGATTAGAATTCGATTGCATGGAATCTGCACTCAGACTCGGCGAGTTGTTCGTCGGACTCGACGAGTCGAGTCGCGAGTCCCCGTCTTCGGTTCAAGTTGTGAGTTCAGAGTGAATCAGTGAGTGGGAAAGGGGCTTGGTGAGTTAAAGTCAGAATTAGTAAAGGAAGAACTCGGCGAGTCTGCGCCCTGACTCGGCGAGTCCGGTCAACTGGAAGTTGACTTTGAGTAGGGGTAAAAAAGGTTATTTTACCCTCAGTACAGTTATCAGTAGCTGATTAAGTGTGTTTATAGGAATTGTAGCCGGGAGAGACCGGAGCAGCAACAGACAGTTCTCGGGTAGAGTTTCAGCAGCCAGCTTTCGAGGTGAGTTTTCCTTCAAGTAGGAACGGGTCTATGGCCACAATGTCGGCCTGTCTAGTTAGCAGTAGTTCCGGACTTTGGTCCAATGCAGTAGTTCAGTGTGCTTGATGTCTTTCTGATTCAAGCATGTCCTTTTGATATGTGTTCCGGACTTCAGTCCGATGCAGTATGCAGTATATGTGTTTATGATAGTTGATATGTTTATGCTATGTATATTATGATCAGTCAGTTTCCGGACTTCGGTCCGATGCAGGGGACTAGGTCCCAGTCAGTTCCGAATTTCTATCTGATGTAGTTAGTTCCGAACTTCGGTCCGATGCAGGGGACAAGGTCCCAGTCCGTTCCGGACTTCGGTTAAATGCAGTTTCCGAACTTCAGTCCGATGCAGAGGGCAAAGCCCTGGTTAGTTCCAAACTTCGGCCCGATGCAGTTTCCAGACTTTGGTCTGATGCAGTGGGCAATGCCCAATATGTGTTTATATGATTGTATGGTATGTGGTAGTCTGGGGGAGCTCACTAAGCTTTGTGCTTACTGTTTCAGTTTTTGTTTCAGGTACTTCCGTAAGCAAAGGGAAGGGCTCGGGATGATGGCATCACACACACCACAACTTCAGTTTTATCCTCGGAGTTGGTTTCATTTTTCCCAGATATGACTGGACACGGTTTGATACAGTTTTGATCACGACACTTTATTATGGTTTTGAGATATTGATGTATGATTTTTATTTTATGGCATTCGGTGTTATGGTTTTAGTATTATTTAGACAAAAATATTTGGGTCGCATTTTGGGTTGTTTCACCAACCTATCTTCCCCGCAACTTCCCTTCTCATTTTTTAGACACCTCGTGATTTCAGGTACGGCTTCATCTGATTATTTTGAACTGGATCAAGATGGAAGCTTCATCGTTTCTTATTTCCCATTTCGGGACCTGTTGGATATCTGCAAATATATTAACCATTAAGCTTATGTTGGCTCCCTCTGTTAATTTTAAATTTCTTTATCGTTTTATAAGAATGACATGATTACCCTTTACTTGCAGGAAGAGGTAGAATAGATGCGAGGTGGCTGAGCACAACGATCATGAAGCTACGGATTTGGGCCCTTGTTCTTTGTTTGGCTTTGAGTGTTTTGATGGAAACTTGACAGAGTTGGTTAATATTTAGGCGGGGTTTCTTCACCTAAAATGTTATGTTTCTAGACCACATCAACGTATGTTCACATTCATGTATCAATTATAGTTTTTCTTAATAGACAGGAATGGTTCCAAACATAGTGACAAACCGAAAAATACAGTAACACACATACAATAACCTAAAAAATAGATGAACTTTTTACTCAAAATAGCAATGTAATTTTAAAGTACATTTCTTAATCGGCAGAATTGCTTCCAAACACACACACATATATATATATATATATATATATATATATATATATATATATATATATATATATATATATATATATATATAATCTATTTACAAACTAAATAGGAATGAAGGAACAATAAAAAAAGATGAAGTTATAATTTGTTTGGCTTTGAGTGTTTTGATAGAAAACTTGACATAATTGGCTTATCTTTAGGCGGGGTTTCTTCACCTAAAATGTTATGTTTCTAGACCACATCAACGTAAGTTCACAATCACGTATAAATTATAGTTTTGCTTAATAGACAGGAATGGTTCCGAACAGAGACAAACCGAAAATACAGTAACACACATACAATAACCTAAAAAATGGATGAACTTTTACTTAAAATAGCAATGTACTTTTAAAGTACATTTCTTAATTGGCAGGAATGCTTCCAATTTCCAAACACATACATATAACCTATTGACAAATTAAATAGGAATGAAGGAACAATAAAAAAGATTAAGATATAATATTTTAATGGATTATGTATTGATTAAACCATGTGTTCAGATACAAAAGTACGTAACTTTTTTTTTTTTACAATACTTTGATTCATTCATGCGACAAAAGAAATGAAATAAAAGAAGACTATGACTGAAAAAAGAAGAACAAAAAGGAACCGTGTGACAGAAATAAGAACAATGAAGATTTGAACAATCAAAAACCTTATGTTTTGCAGAATCTTGATCACCAAAAAATACGTCAGACTATTGTGGGACGTTCGAATTATATTTCTTGCATGAGGATGATATTTATAAGCTTTAAAAATATGAGACTGGGTATCACAAAATTAGTGAAGATTTATTCAAAAAAAAAAAAAAAAGAGGGATCATATGCTGATTATTAGGGAGAATGATAATTATACTTTGCTGATATATCGACATTGACATACCCATTTAAATGGTATTTCAAATAAAATAACTTAAAATTGGTATGAAATCAATGTTATCCCTTTAAACAAGTTATTGATTGGTGTAGTTAAAACGTCATTATTGGGGATATAAATGGCTAGATTATTTGAGATATGAAATTTAAAACTCAATTTATATCGATTTCAATTATCAATGGCATGAAACACAGGGAGTTAGGGAGAGGAGCTCCACAAAAATGACACGTGGCATAAGCAACTACAGAAAAAGTGACATGTGGCATAACAAATATTCTTTTTTTAGTAGAGATAGAGGTAGAATAGATAGACAAGATTCGACATCTTAATTGAAAAATGACCACAAAACTGCCGAGGCCAACACGTAACAAGGGTCCCATAGGAATGACTATACATCATGAGATGGTAATATAAAGGCCCACAACTGTAAGAAGCCCACGATTGAATTCAGCAGCACTGGTACTATTGCTACAACAGAGAATACACATTCAATCCAAGTATCCAACTACCAATGTTTATAATGATTTATTACCAAAATAAAGGGAGACAACAGCACCAAGTTATTTTATAATAAACCCACATGGTGCTTAATAGATCCGTTTTACGTTTGGTGTCAAGAATCCTTAAACAACTTTAGTTAATTATAAGGAGCACAAGACGTAGGAATCAAATGCAAGTGAATCTTTTTTGCTGCTAGCAATCCATCTGTCTCCGCCATATCGACATCAATAGGGTTTAATCCATCAGGGAGTTCCCAGTTGAAGTAGTATAGCATTTGAGCAAGAAAAAACTCGACTGTCGTCAACCCAAAATTCATTCCTGGGCACATTCTTCTCCCAGATCCAAATGGTATAAACTGATAATTATTTCCCATAAAATCAACCGAAGTTTTTTCAAATCTTTCGGGCTTGAAGCTTTCAGAATCATCCCAGTATTCAGGATCAGTAGAGCATGCCCATGCATTGATGATCAGTTTCATTTTAACAGGAATATCGTATCCATCAATTTTACAATGCTCTCTACTTACATGTGGGAGTAACATTGGGATTGGAGGGTGAAGCCTTAGGGTTTCCTTGATTACTGATTGCAAATAGCTCAAACCTTGTATGTCTGACTCCATGACTTTTTTCTTCCTCTTAAAGGTTTCTCTCACTTCTGTTTGCACCTTTTCGAGCACATTCGGATGTCTCATCAGTTCTGTCATAGCCCATTCAATAGTTACTGATGATGTATCGGTGCCTCCTGCAAATATGTCCTACATCAATTTTAAAAAAAAAAAGTTAAAATGGGTGGGTTTTATTTCACATAGCCGACATTGCATGTTTATGTTGTTTTGGACGAAATAGCTAATACTTCACTTGTGACATATTGGCTGTAGACGGATATGACTGGATAAAGAGATACCAATAAAGAGAACTTTCTGTCGATCATTGCTATGGACCTAGTTATGTGCAAATCGACAAAAGAACTTCACAATCATTGTATACTAATTGAAATCTAGTGTACAATAAAAGATAACTACTATTAGGGTGTGACTTGTGAGTGTTACAATAAAAATAATATTCTAAGGTGTATATAGAAAACAGTAAAATTCAACTAGTCGATGACATACTAATGATAATACAATAGTATTTTTTGCACAAAATATAAAGTATAACTATTGTTGGTTGGTAGCACTCGATACATAAAAAGTTAATTGAAATTTTTTGTATAATTTTGTTGTTTCCCTTTATGTTCATAAAAAATCATAATATACTTGATCTTTACAATGCAATGGCTTAGCTAGGGACCTATATATTAAGAAACAAACAACCTTTGATGATGTGTGCATAAAATAAAGGTGATACGACATACGCACTCATGTTAAAGCATCACAGTACCATCAAAAGCCCCATCAAATAATTGCATTCTCAATCAAAACAATAATGACATAACAGATTGTATGAAGGTGAAAAAGGGAAAATATCAGCCCTACAGTTTACTACCTTTGTATTCATTAAAAAAAAAACAGAAAATTGAAAGAGTAAGTTTAGGTATAGCAGTGGTAAAAGAGAGAGCATATCGATAGATGATGAACTTACCACAAAGATTGCTTTAATATTGTTATTCGTGATGGGGAACTCAAGACCTCCTTCATCTTTGATTCTAAGAAGAACATCAAGAAGATCTTCCTCATGTTCCCCTCCATCTCTCTTTCTACTATCATGCTCCTCAAAGATGTCGTTGAAGATTTTGTCGAGAGTTTTGTGCATCTTCATTAACGTTGATCTCAATCCAGAAACCACGTAAAGAAACTTAAAATCCGGAAACAAATCCGCAACATAAAACCCACTATTTACTCTTCCAAACTCATCTAGGAACTCTAGGAGTGCATCCTGGTGTTTACAGTTTTTTCCGAAGGAAGCTTTGCAGACAACATTATTCACCAATTCCGTGATGGTTTTGTGTATGTTTACCGGTTTCCCTGAAGATATTCGGAGAAAGTTCATGAAACTACAAAGTTCTTGCTCTCTGATTAGACCAAACGATTGAACTTTTTTGGCACTAAGAAGTTCCAAGGAGGCGATCTTTTTCATTTGTCTCCAATACTCACCATATGGAGCGAGGGCTATATCGGTGTTCCTATACAGTACAAGCTCGCTCCCAAAAGTCTTCGGACGATCTGCGAGGGCAACATCATGAGTTTTGAGTACCTCTTTGGCTAGTCGGGGTGATGAAATGATGACTGCTGAAATTTGGCCTAGTTGGATATGCATGATGGGGCCATGTTTTTGTGCTAAATCTCGAAATGCGCGGTGTGGGAGCAGTCCGGCTAGATGGTGTACGTTCCCGATCAGAGGTAGCTTTGGTGGCCCTGGTGGCAGGTTTAATGATTTTGCTCCGTTGGTTTTCTTGTTGAGCACAAGGTAAAGGAAGAGGATGACACAGGAAACAGTTAAAGATAAGGCTATTTTGGTGTACATTGTTTCAGCCTTGCAGTAGGTAAAATGAAGGTCCTCTAAATATATTGACATGTTTATGGGGCTCATGTATATGTGAACCATTAAAAAAAAAGAGAGAAATTAATAAATTTTCAATTATAAACATTCGCTTTAATTCTTAAGAAGTTTATAAATTTTCAATTAAAACTTCATTCCACCATTCAATATGGCCATTCAAGTTCACAATCTCTCATTTATATTATATTCACATTTATTCCATTAAACCCTCATACAACTCCCATTGTAGGTGACCTAAATTTTGTTAAATTTTACTTGTATGACATCTGTAGTGGCCCCCAACGTAAGGTAAAAAGGAATTTTTTTATTTTTTTATTTTTTTTTATATATATTTTTTTAACTTTAAATTGACAAATTCTCACAAGACAATGATCTACCACAAGTTTTGTATTTTTCTTACTTTGTTACTTTTAAAATTATTGTCTACACATAAAAAACATACAGATTAAGGAAAAATATTAATTATTACTATCTTTATTAATTGAAATGACAATTATATCATTTTGTTATATTTAATTTCATGTTAGTTGCATTTAATTTTATGGTCATTTAACTAATAATGAGAAGTATTTTGGTAAAAATGATATTTATTTTTAGATGTAAACTATCATTTTGAAACGAACGAATAAAGAAACACAGACTATTAATATGAGACGGATGGAGTATTATTTATTTATTTTTATATTTTCACAATAGTTGTTAATATATTAAGAGTAGGGATGAGAATTTGGCATGAAAACCAAACCTATTGAACCGCACCGAACCGAATTAGGCCCGAATAAACAATTCCACTCAAATTTCGGATATCTATATTAGGTTTACTCGGTTCTCGGGTTATTCGGTACGAGTTACCTGAATAAGAGTCTATTCGGTTCTAAATACACGACTCAGAATTGAAAAGTTATTTCAGTTTTTAATCCTGATTACTGTAAAACAGTGTACCGCAAAGAACCAATGAATATTTTACCAACCAACCAAAAAAAAGTTGGTTACTAACATATTTTGTAGCGAACATGTTTGGTTGATAACACTGTATCAATTCAGTAAAATTCGCATGATAATTGTATTAAAATTTGAATACCACAATATTATCGTATTAAAAATTCATATATATATATATATATATATATATATATATATATATATATATATATATATATATATAGAGAGAGAGAGAGAGAGAGAGAGGAGAGCGTTCAATCGAGAACATTTGTTAACGCGAGAAGTTTGAGAAGTTTGAATTTACATAAGTTCATTTAAAAGAAAAGTTAAATATAAACGTCTAAACATTTAAGAAATTTGAATTTATAATAAAAGTGAGATAAATAGTGAATTATTAAAATTGACATTTTTTTTTTTCTCTTTTAGGTTTAAAAAATTAGATAAATAAAAAAAAAAGAACTTGATGAAATTTGTGTATTTTAAGGTCCTATTTGTTTCTTTCGCCCTGTGCCCAAAATATGTTTCGAACGACCCTAGATGTTCCTACTGGATATAGTGTCTAAGTCCATAACTTTATTTGGTATGTACTTGACCCGACCCAGCATGGTCCATTTGGGTTGCATGTCATTGCAATACTTGGATAGACAAAATGAGAGAAAGTACACTTGTTATTATTAATATATTATAAGTTCTAATATATTGATAACAATATTATTTAATTAGTATTGATCAAGTATTAATCTAGTATTAATTTGGTGATCGAAGTGAGACTAATTGAATATATAGGGTTGATTATGACAATCATCAATTCTTTTATGGTGGATTAATGATCCATGGTTTATGGGTTTGGTTATAATCATATGGAGCTCCATGGATAGTCCATGGGAGTTACAAACCCATGGGTCATGAGAAATGAAGAGTCATGACAATTAGGGTTTACATTTGTAACTCCTAATTATGACACATTATAAAAGAAACCCTATAGCATGCAAAATCAGCACTAGTGTATTCATAAGAGGGCATAACCGATTTTTGAGGCTAAGTGACATTCTCTCAAGTTATTCCAAGTTTGTAGTGTTGTGTGAAGCATTTGAGGCACAACATTTTGGGTGCTAGGCTCACAAAGTCTTGAAGGAATCCAAACAACAACAAGGTATGTATTTCTACTAGTTTTTATGTTTTATGTAATCCCCATGCCATGCTAATTAGGAAATAACCTTGAAAAAGAATTTTGCATGTATATAGAGAAAACATAGATTCAAGGTTATTAGGGTTGCATGTACACTTAGGAAGTGTTAGAATGCTCAAAACCCATCAGTGGTATCAGAGCCTAGGATTTGTTTTCTGTATACTTGATGCAAACTGCTTGAAAAGGTCGAAAATCTGCTCTCTGATGACTGGACTCACCGAGTTCATGGGGAGGACTCGCCAAGTCCATGAACAAATTCATCCTACTCGTCGAGTAGGATAATGCACTTGATGGGTAGGAGCGTGCTGGGCCGCTTTTCGTGTTTTGTTGCTGGAAATGGATTAAAATCATTATCCCAATCTATTTTGGACTTGTAAAATATGTTTTTCAAAATGATAACGATTGATGTATAGACATCAATTTACTTTCATGTATATACTATTTTTAACCAATGGTCTAGAATTACATGAAAACATAGTCAAGTTCAATAAATTACATTAAATTAAGACTATATATTAAAAAGAATTGAACTTAGTTCACAAAAGATGTCCTCTGATGCACTTTGATGGTTAGAAATACAACACCAATTCTGCATCAGATACCTTCAATCCCTCCATTGATATTGTTGTAGCTGAAACACCAAAACCATAAGCAAAACATCATAAACCCCACCTGTCAACAAGTAGATATATACATTTTCAACATGTTACATAATCTTGAGTTAAGTGAACAAGGTTTCGTAACACATCAGGAAGAGTCAGAAACGTAATGTTAGGGAAAGGGTAAGGGCTATCTAAAATTGGAATCTCTGACTTATTATCATTTAGATCAGACAAAAACGGAGAAGATCAACTTCACAACCATGGGAACATATGGAATCGTCTATAATCCAACAACCAACCAATTACGAAGATTGATCTAACACAACTTTACCAGGTAACTACTTTCTGCATTGAGTATTTTAGGCTAAATTCATGCCTCATCTGAATGGCAAAATGAAAGCAATTCCCCACCACAATATATTAGAAAAAAACAAGTGCAACAGGAAGCTAGAACAATAAAAAAAAAGTTTGTAGAAACCAACAGAATAGAGAAAAACTACTTTGCTCCCAAATCGGCAACCCGAGGAAAAGGAGGTAATGAAGTCTTTAATTCAAGAAACAATATCAAAACTATAAGCATAGGCTCACATAACATATGAATTGTGCATATGGAGCCTTAAGCTAATAACAGGGCAGCACCAAAAAAAATCAGTTGAATTTCAACAAAATAACACTAGGGGCAAAATGGTCAAGTTGGATCTGAAGGGAGGAATTTATCTCTCAGCCACCCAATTAGCATGAATGAACACCCTATAGCACCAGAATAGCAACTAACTCTCATGAACGGGCATCCATCCAAAGGAAAATCAGCAACTCAACAACTTTTTAGTAAAATTTGATCAAAAGTCAAGACGTAGGTCATGAAATTCTAGTGGGTAATAACTCTATGGCACCAACTATGAATATAGCTAGATGCAAGGTCCACACCAAATACCCTTGAAGAGATTCTGATTCTAGGTTCTAAATATAATTACCATTTCTGGGATTGTTTAGCTTGATTTTTTTTTATGTAATTCCACTCAATTACAAACATGTGTACAGCTGAGTTGAAGTTTTGTCTTGTGTGTAGCTAGGAGGGTAACGTTGGAAAATTTGTTCAATGTCTTCACTCTGCAGACATGAAACACATCGTCAGTAAAACAGTATATCTATATTCTAAACTTTATCATATCAAGATATGCCAAAAGGCCCAAAACCAAATACGATTATCATAAAAAAATATTGATTTTTTAATTTAACATAGGAGAAAAAGATATAAGATTATCACCAAATAATATATGAATTTTAAAACTTAACAGATCATGAAACAAAATCTTAACAGATAATGATAAAATCTTTTTGAATAAATAATTTATCACTGATTGCTGGGATTACTTTAGCAATTTATTGAATTTATTCGACCATTAACGCATAGAGAAACCCAACCGGAGACAACAAAATGCAACTAAGTGTTTAATCCTCTATTAACACACGCAGAAAATCTAAGTCAAGGAAGATAAAAGCTGCTTGGTATGTACCTCTTAATTTAATTAAGTGCTTACTTTCAATTGATTTACACTTCTTTACACAAGTTTATTGTTTATTTATGCACACTGAATGCCAAGAGACACCATACGAATGTGATAGCAAGTGAAATTTACAACACATATTTCTTTACAAATCAGTATGTAGTTTACTCTTATTAGATGTGCCCTTTTCTGTAATTCCACTCGTTTTTTTATTAAATCAGTTGCATACAACCATCATTATATATATATATATATTATATATATATATATATATATATATATATATATATATATATATATATATATATATATATATATATATATATATATATATACAATTAACTTTAAAGTGACCTGATTTATGCTACTTTGAGTTGGAATCAAGAACATGAACAAAATAGGGACTAACCTGATGCTATGTTGATGATTTAGATATGGAAATCTCGTCACCTGTATAGGCTTCTTATTTTTTTCCTTCTTAGAAATTATCTCTCTTCTTTGTGAATGAATTGGTGCTTGCTTATATGGGAAAAAATCGTCCTTAATTATATAAGGAGGAATGAAAAAACGCATATACACAAATATATACAAAGTCAATAGTGTTGATGATCTTGGATTTTTGGCGGGAAATTAATTGATGTAATCCCGCCTTAATGTAAATGGAAAGTAATATGTAATTGTTTATTGAATATATAATATAAGTATTAGCTATTTTTTCTTTTATTTATTTTTTAACTTTGTTGATGTTGTTAATTTATGACTGGTAATAGTGCGTGGTTATTTATTTTGAGTTTCATTATAAGTTTCCAAACAAATTTCA